TTAAGGTTGAAATTGTGTGTGAAGGAAATAAATTTATTATTATATTATTATTATATATTATTATATATTATTATATATTATTATTATTATTATATTTTCGCACACGTAGCACTCTGGATTGTTCCATTCTGTATGTAGTCTGCGTGAGCTCACAGTCCGCAGGATGTGCACTGGTACCATATTTCGGCGTTATGGCTAAATTTGGTGTAGATGAGGCAGCAATCTATAGTGGCATTCTACGTAAAGCAAGCGGACGGTAAATTGAAAAGCGATTTGACAAACGACAGTAATATTTCTTAACGTACAATATTTTGTGAATGTTTCAGGATCTAATGAAAGAGTTGTCGTCCTCACTCCGGATAGGCATCTCGCAATATCTAACTGAACCCATGTGGAAAAGGTTGTTGGATACAATGCAGGTATAGATAGCTTTTAATTTATTGATAACATTTAATTCGTACTTTCAGCGTAATAAGGCCACATCTGTAAAATGTCAATTTTTCAGGAGCTAGGTTTATAATAATAAATAATGCTCTTATCATACACCCTCCACATTGATACACGCTATACTGCATTTACTTGATATCGGTCCGTAAGTGTGGTTAAAACCAGCCACAAATTTATTATTACCAACCATAGAGAATATAACCAGCTATGGAGACGTAATAAGGGCCATCCATCTCATTCATGAAAAGTCATGTTTACTGAAAATTTGTCATTTTACAGATAAGGCATTATTAAAAATATTTATAACTTAAGTTGGAATGCCCATATTCAGTTTTTGTGCGAGAAACTTGGAGGTGCTACGTACGCACTGCGGAAACTGCGTCCCCTTGTGTCCACTGCGGTGTTGAGGCAAACGTACTTTGCATAATTCCATATATTGATGTCCTATGGTAGTTATTACAATATGGGGCAATTCAACTGAGTCCAAATGTGTATTCGTTCTCCCTCGAACCGAACTCGCAACGAGAATCCGCGAGTAATCGGGCCCCGATTTTACGAACACCTACCCACAAGTCTAGAAAATGTTACAAATGACGAAGTGTTTTGTTCCCGACTGAAAGACTTTTTATTGGATAATGAATTCTACAATGTAGAGGGATTTCTTTTAAAGAAATTGTAATTATATTTTTAATTTTGGACGTTTGTGTTTTGAAAATATTTAAATTTTTATTTGTATTTTTGTAGTTCGTATTTTTCTCTATTTCTCTTTTAATTATTTTATTTTATATTAACATTAAAATTATTATTTACCTTAATGACGTACATGTTATCCCTTGACATTATATTTCGAATTGTGATATCATGAAATTGATAATATGAAATAAATGATTCTATTCTATTCTATCCTATTAAATTCGTTTAGATTTAGACCAGGTGCTAGGTGTATCATTTGTCATTAAAAAGTGCTTTTACATTTGTTTTGCAAATGCCCTTTGCGTGTCAATATTTAAATTTATTCTTATGATCAGATTGAACTAAGTTGTTGCGGAACAGAGAAGCCGAGCGACTGGCACGAAACACCCTGGATTAACATGGACTTCCTAAACGAAGAATCTGAAATTGTTATGAAGTAGGTTCATATAGCATTTTTTCTGTTTGTTATTATAATTATGTTTAAACCTCGGCAAATGCTGTATACATAAAATAATTCGGAATTTCAGCATATTTTTTTCTACTTCCATACAAAACCTGTATCGATTAGTATAGGAAGCAAAAGACATACATCTACAAATTTCAGGAGAGAGGTTCAATGAGATACCTTTATAGTAGCAGTAGAGGTCCTTACCTATTTCTGCCGCCAAGCAGTAATGTCAGCGTGACTGTGTTCCGGTTTTAAGGGTAAGGGACTGTTATAGACAGGCGTGTAAGTTACCATCAGGCGCACGACTTGTTCGTTCCGTCACTTGATATTATAAAAAAATAAAAATAAAATTTAATTTAGTAAAAACGAGAGTTCTAAAATTTTACTTACCTTTATACAATTTGATTATAAAATTATGAGGCTGTGTAAAAAAAAATATCCGTATTATTTTTATCACTTTCATGTGATAAAAACACTTTTCATGGACGATCTCTTGTGGCTTTATTTTATCCTGCTTAAACCTAGCAAACTCCAATGGGAAAAGCGCTAAACGCCAACGGCCATTAAAATGTATTAAAATATAAGTATATGCTTTAGGCCACACGAAAGTATGCCCTCGGTTTTGCATGAAAAACGTATTACCCTAGTGTCATACAGAATATATAGCGCTAAATTTGAATGTTATATTTTATTTATTTATTTAGTTTGGACAACTTACACTTACAGTACTTATAACTAAACATGAAAGTCATAGTCACAAAAAAAGGTTGAATCGATCACCGGCCAAAGATAGGATGCGGAATTTGGACCACAGAGCTTTGGGCGGTGACCGCCTCCAAATAGTAACCAGCGGATGTTAGAAATTTTTATTGCAATATACACTAGGCATTTTTGTGAGCATAGGAATAAAATTCTTTGGGTCTGCATCATTTCACATGTTATATAGGTACCTATACATTTTGATGTACACATGGGAGCTTAGGAATCCATGTGCCCTTGATATTTTATCTTATTATCTATCAAGTACCAATTCTGTTTTGATACATTTTACGCATGTTTTAGGGCTATAATTGGAAATTAATTCTTTTTTTGGTTCTAAATCGCTTATAAGTATTTGCTTTTTCAAACAAACCTTCATTTTGGGCTCTTTTCAGAACATATGGTTGCAACTAATTTAGATTCACTATTTAGTACTCACTAGCGATCTTTGACCTTTGCGTGTTATGTTAGCAAAAATCATAGTGTGTACGTGGTTCGCGAGTAAGCCGACGATAACCAGGTTCTCATTCTAGCGTGTGAAGATGGATTCAGGCGTACACACTATCTGGAACATAGTTTCCCAAAGCGATCCCTACTGCCCCCCAGTGATCGCTGAAAAGTCTTAGGTGGCCTCGGAAGCAATTGGTGGGTGTTGAAGCTCTCCAAGGGGTGCTACCGCATGTAGTTTAGAAATTATGTTCTGAGATTTAATTGCCCGATAAATGGCGCTTGAAGAGTAAAAAACGGGATTTCGTCCGAAAAATGGAATTACGAGGTTTGCAAATTTAATCGACAATATGCGGTTTAGACTCCTACTTGAAAACTGCCTCCGTAGCCGAACGGTTACTATGCACTGCCACGCAGAGGTCCCAGGTTCGTTTCCTAGGTCGGGAGAAATATTAGTATGGCCTACATTTATTTCTCTCGTGAGTTTGGGTGTAATTTGTGGTTGTCTATGTGAAAAAAAAAATTATTTCATTTCCAATGTGTCAACATCAACAACCCATTTATAAATCCTGCTGGGCACAGGTCTCCTTTCAGGCAATGGGACATAGTCCGCTACGCTGGCCCAGTGCGGGTTGGGGACGTTTCTTCTTCGACGTATGTTTCAATACGACTTTTCCCTCACCGAAAAGCTCATGGGAAATTTCAAATAAATTTCGCATAGACATTCCGAAAAACGCAATGGTCGACCTCGGATTCAAACTCACCACCTCTGCTTGAGAGGCGGTAACTCAAATCATAAACCATAAAAAGCAAATCTTGTGGTTTCAGATTAGCTGGTGCCGACGGCAAAGTGCTTCCTCCTGTGTCGCCTTTCTCGTGCTGCACACCGAGGGTACTTGCCGCTTGCTACCACGACCCTTTACAACAGGTAGATGAGTACCGGATGTTCCTGTGGGTTTTTGTGTTTCGTGTTTCCGTGGTAGAACGATTACGATACTGAATTGCCACGCAGAGTTCGATTCCCGGGGCCGGGAGGAATATTTTCATGATCTACATTTATTGCTCTCGTGAGTTTGAGTATAATTTGTGGTTGTCTTTAGTGTGTGTTCATGGCACCCGCGAAATAAAGGTTTCCCCAGTTCTCTGGGAGTGTGCGTTATTATTATTACATTCTCTCTTTAGGTAGCTTTCGGGAAGCTTCGGGACGTCTTCTCGTCCGCAATACCCAAGGCCTTGAAGACAAAAGTCTTCAAACAATGCGTGTTGCCAGCGATGACCTACGGCTTTGAGACGTAGGGTCGTATTCTAGAACTCTATTCAATGCTCAAGTCAGGATTGCACTGGCAACACAAGCACTGGAAATACGACCCTAATGGCAGGGACTTGAGTATGATTTCGAGTGCTTTGAATCATACTAAAGTCCTGACTTGAGCATTGAGTAGAGGTCTAGAATACGACCCGTAGTCACTTACTATGGACCTCGTAAAAAAGCTCAAAGTCACCGAACGAGCTGTGGAGCGAGTAATGCTCAGCATTTCTCTTCGTGATCGAATCAGAAATGAGAAGATCCGTAGAAGAACGAAAGTCACCGACACAGCTCACAGGATTTGCAAGTTGAAGTGGTAATGGGCAGGGCACAAAGCTCGTAGAACTGACAGCTGTGGTCGTTGGGGCGAAACAGTACTCGAATGAAGACCACGAACCGGAAGGCGTTCAGTGGGACGGCCGCTTACTAGATGGACGGCAGACCTGGAAAGGGCGGCAAGTAACCGATGCATGCACGTCGCGTCTGACCGGCTGACCTGGCAATCTTTAGGGGAGGCCTATGTTCCGCAGTGCACGTTTTCCGGCTGATATAATGATGATGATGATGATCCTCTCTTTCTGAACGCAATATCACGTATTCGTCTTTTTTACGATCTCACTCAACTTTTAATAGGGAACGAACTACAGGTCAAGGTTTTGATAAGCGGAATAACATCGCTTTGAAAAATTTGTCTAACTACTTACTTTTTAAATAGTTTCGAAAGTTCGTTTTTCTCCGAGTTTTAGTTGAGGTCTTTTTTCCAGGGATGCGGAAAAGCTGATAGACTGAAAGCCCTACTAGCTACATATAAATATGGGCGAAAACATCATCGTCAATGATGTTAATTTTTACCAGTTAAAGATAGTGGGGCAACACCATATAATTAATTAAGAAGTGTGCTTTGGAGACAATGGAAAGTTAAAATAGAAGACCTTAGCAGTAGTTATTTAAGTCTATCAGTATTTGCAGGCAGAGTGGCGCGAAGTGTGGTCAGGTGGGTCTCCTCTGCCCTCAGCGTCGCTGCACACGCGTGGCTGCGTCGAAGCGGTGCGGCAGCCGCTCACGAAAGCCTTGCTTGGACTGCAGCTCTTCAACGTGCTCGTCTTTTTGTTCCAAGTAAGTGTTATTCGAGATTTAAGTAGATATGTAGGCATATAATAAAATTGGTTCTGGTTGGGATATTCTGCAAGGTGGTCCCTGAATATATTTCATTACTGGTATTTTTTTATTACAAAATATGTTCGCATTTCACCTCCATGTCACCTGATGGAAAGTGACGATGTGGTCGATGATGGACTATGAACAACAATTTTTTTTTTCTTTTTATTTTATGTAGGCAGCAAACAAGCATACGGCCCGCTTGATGGAAAGCGGTTACCGTCACCTATGAATGCCAGCAACACCAAAGGCGTCACGCGACCGTTTAGGACCCTTCTCAAACCCCTTTTGAAGGACTCCATGCTGTATTCCTGCGGGAAAACCCCGACAGGGTTCATTCCACAACCTAATTGTACGTGGGAGAAAGCTCCTCTAAAAGCGTATTGTACGAGATCGTCTCGGTTCCAGAGTTTGAGGATGGACTCCCTGCCGGTGGCGAGCGGTGCCGTGATAAAATGTTGCTGTTGGCATCATGTCAAACAGTTCTTCAGAACATTGGCCCTTGTACAAGCGATCCAAGACAGTGGTTAAATATCGTCTGTAAGCACAGGATCGTCAACAATGCAACATAGCACGTCTTTGAACTGCGTCAAAGGGCCAACCAACCAAGGATCTCGATGCTCTCCGAGATATTTAATGGCTTGTTTTGGAACTGAAGGCCTGCAGCAAATGGAGTCTTTTTAGCGGTGAACGCGCAAACTTGTGTCTTGGTGGGGTTAAATTGGACTAAGTTTAGTCGTCCCCAATCAGAAACACTCTCCAGAGTTTTTTCTGTTTCTGACAAAATAATGCCTATTCCTATTTCGTCTCCCACCTTGAAAGGGCCCAAAGGAGTATTATTTATTTGACAGTAATTTGTTGTTGTCTTTGAGGTGTGTGACCTCCTTACATCGTCATCCCACCTTTTTATCGCCTTTCTCCGGTTCCTGGCCACTCGTATTTAAATTTTGAATTGTTCCATAGTTCTTTTGCCTCGCATTTTGATTTTGATTCGCTCCATCGTCACGCCCTGCTCGATCGCGACAGCGTACGGAGCTGTTAAAATTCAATCGCGTCTAATTTTGATTTCTTAAGTTTATAATCATTACTAATCTATATCATGTGTCAATTTTATAACCACCACAGCCTCTATCATGTACTTATGAATACGTATCTGTAATTTAGTATAACTCGGCCCTTTTGGGAGAAGTGTCTACTTAATATCTTGATATTCATCAAGTTAATAAGAATAAAACAGTAAAAACATTTCTATTTTTATTGTGATTTCAAGCATAACTTCTAAAATTTGATAGATATGGTGACATACATAACTAACAAAATATTGGTAACTTACATTGACAAAGTAGTTTTAGTTTTTAAATAAAGGTGGTGTTGTTTAGTTTTCATTATAGCGGGTTATCCAATATTGTGCACGTATCCAATATTTGGTACGACTCCCTTACCGGGTTATCGTTGGCTTACTATAAACCACACGCGCTCCGCTCGCGGCAAACTCGTGAACCACGTACACACTATGACTTTTGGTAACATAACGTGCAACAGTTAAATTTAAATAAATTAATAAAATCGGCCTTATTAGACATGCAAATTACATAAATTTCAAACAAAAAAATTAATAAAAATAAATTCAAGTTAAAATAAAAGGTAAAAAAGCATGTCAAAAAGGTCCATGACTCGGCATCGACAAGGACTATGCTAATTACATAGCCTTCACTATTATTCTACCATGACCTGCCTTAAATTGGAACATCGCAATTCAAATATATATGCACATGGGACTTGTCATTTTATGTCTCAGGGTGACGGGCGCAGCGGCAGTGCCCCTCTGATCTTTGCGGTTTAAAGCTCTGAGTGTCACTGCGACTGTTATGGACAAGCGTGTAGCTTACCATCACAAAATTAGGCACAAGCAACGATTAGACATGGAAAATAATCAATTAGAGTATTAAATTATTAATTTAAATAGCATAATACCAAACATACACAAATACGCAGTAGATATTTACAAACACAAGCTCAAACACGTCCCGAGATTTCTTTTCAAACAGCCACAGAAAACGTTTATGTTTGAAAGTTGATAGTGTTTGAGACATTTCGTTTCGCAGTTTTAACGCCTTTTGATTCAATCTTATTTGATTTTCAGATAATAATAGTTATATTGACGCAGCTGCTGCGGCGCAGTGCGCTCGACGCTGTGCTCAGCGGCGACTGGGACGGCGAGGGCCGCGGGTACCTCTTCGGCCGGCTCAAACCCATTGCCGAGCCGTCTTATAGGATACAAGTGAGCCTGCATCAATAGAGGGCTTTACACAGACACTCTTTCGCGCGTGATACAACAATCGTGAGTAATTGAGTGCGTGTGTAGGGAGCTCATTCATTTATCGTGAATTACGTCCTTAATCGTATTTTGGGTTTGGTCACGGGTCTAGAAAATCACGATCTGACAAGAGTCTTGGCCGGTAGTTTATTTATACCGCATTTCCGTATATAATGTGCCCGTCTAGGGGCCGACAGAACTGTAATATCGTTAAGGGCGCTTGCGCACTGCATCCGATTCATGTGAGTTCCGAATCCGAGAAATGACGGTCCGAAATGTCATAGGGAACATTTTTATTTCTAGGTATACAATTGATATTTGTATTTTCTCGTATTCGCATCGTACTTAGTGCACAAGCGATATCCGATGTGGGTCCAGGGGGTCAATTCAGAACCTTATGATAAATCAGTTGTAGACCGATTCGAATTAATATCGTGCGATTTCTTTTCATTTTTATTCACGACACCCGAACGAACGTCAAACTGTCGTATTCGAAACCGAACCGAAATGACGTCACTTCTGTACGATCGAACTTCTCGACCGGGAGTGACTTCAAATATTATTCATAACACTTACAATTATCGAATTAAGATACCGAACGTCCTTATTATTTTGAATAAAGTCTGGATTTTGTTCAATTCTGTTAATTTATTTTAATGCAAGACTAATGCATTCCTATATTTTAGGCCTTTAAAGTCTTTCACCGACTAACTTCGTAAACGCTGTTGGATAACGATATCGTATCGAACGTCTACCTCGGAAAGCGCCCTTCGATTCGAGAACTATATCCAATCGAACGATTCGATGAAAATATCGAAGAGTTGTGAACCTGGGTCTAGGTTTTCTATATCTATATATCATATTATATATCTCGACACGACGAATTAGGGCCCCAAGTCCGCTAAGGTTTTAAATCATCGCAATTGTATGTCTATAGAGAGTCAAAGCCAGGATTTTGTAGGTTTGGTATTCTTCTAAAAGTTAAATAGTGGCTTGTCCTAGGCGAGCTACCGAGCTACTATTCAACTGACATTGCATTTTTTTAATATTCTGCTCTTCAATGGCCAGTCGATGATGTAGTCTACTAATTATTTGACATTAAATTGCTGATTAAATTAATACATCTATGATATAATAGTTTATGCGCGTCAAAACTAAAATCCGTTACTGAGCTCGCAACGAGAATAGGTCCCCGATTGTATAACATCTACCCACAAACCTAAAAATTGTTACAAACGACAAAACGTTTTATACCCGACTAAAACTCGGTGCCACACAGCCACCAAAACAATGAATTTATTGCAAACCAAATTTCCCGATCGCATAATTTCGAAGCCGGAGCCAATCGAATCGATTGCAGCCTTGAAACTCAAAATTCGTGAAGTGATTATAAACTTTGATGAAATTATCGACATCTGTAACTGTGGTCGTGATGGACATTTATCAGATGTCATTTTTCATTCATAATTGCCAAACCTTACTTTTTTGACTAAATTTATTGCTTTTTTTGATTTACAAAACAATGTTCTTGTTGAAAAACCCTTTATTTAGACAATCAGTAGTTATGTTACTTTATTTTATATTCATTATTATTGTTTGGGTTAGTGACGATCACATTATACCTTGGCATTGTATTTTTCATTGTAACATTGTGACATTGATGATATGAAATAAATGATTCTATTCTATTCTAAAAAATAAGATATGCATAGTAAGTTCCTTGTTAGTTTGGTAAGGCAACATCCATCGTTATGGCGCGTGTATACTAAGAAAGAACGCTAAGAAATTCGTCATGTCTGCAACAGAAAAGACGAGAATGGCCTTGTACACGACAAGAATTTTGTCGAATCTAGCCACGGAAATATGTATGTCGTGTCTATTGCAGACAAGAAAATGATGAGTATGTACACGATACGAATGCTTTCGGGCAGACATATGTAGGGTAAACGTGTCAGTGCACTTCCAGGTAGCTGTCGTTTTACTACCGACTGTGTGAAGATATATGTTGACTACTAATAAAAAAAAAAATGGTGATTGCAAATTATATGTATAGTATAATAAATATTTCTCTCCATGCCACAAAAGTACGTTGTTTATCTTTATAAATCTCTAAGGTTTTGTCCCACAATACGGGTCGTTCATCAACTAAACTTATAGTAAATCATGTATTTTATTAGTCGCAATAAAATTAGTGGTGCAACAGTGGTACTTTGCAACACCAGCTCACGCGCATAAACGTTCGTTTGCAGACAATGCGTCCCCTATAATAATGGCAGAGTGCGTCGAGCCGGGTGTAGAGTTGTAGACAAGATTTTTTTCTTGTTCGAGGCTGTGTACACAGTTCCTGTGTAGAAACGACACGAATTCTTGCATAGACCCGGCGAGTTTTCTTAGCGTGTACACGCGCCGTTAGTGATTGTATAAATGAATGCTCAAGTGCCTTTGCAACTAGATTTTAGCAGAATAACAAATATTATCGTAATTGCAATATAATATCAATGGAGTTTCAATAGAATTACAATAACCAATGGTTTAAGAAAAAATAGCAGAATTGGGCCCCTGATATGCCTTTCCAGCTACAGCATATTATAAGCTATTGAAAAACCTTATTCAATACGTCCAGTAAGTGACGAATTAGAGGTAGTTACAGCTATTTCTAGTGTTGGGTCATGGAAAAATTTTCATTTTATAAAACCTTTTTTTTTTCAGAAAAGTAAATACTTTTCCGGATATTTTTCCTTTTTTTTTCACATTTGACGAATCGATGGAGCTATTGAAAACGTTTTTTTCTGTAATTATTATTACATAGATCGAACACTCTGAAATTTTTTCGAACCGACGTCTTCTAGCATACCGTGGCAGACGCTATACCAACTAAGCCACGGAACGAACCAGCGGACCTCACGATTTTTTTTTCTATGTGTTTGTTATCGTGTCTTTGTATTTGGTTTTTCAACGACTTTTTAGTCGTAGCGCCATCTATGAGAAATCTATGAAAGTTTTATCACCCAGTTAGATACCTTTGCAGCTACCAGCCCTGGCGAGAGATGTAGTTATTCACTGTATTTTAATTTTTTTATTGAATTGATATTCAATTATTTTTCTAAAAGTACTCTACTAGTTTTTTTATAATTATTAATACAAAGATCGAACACTAAAAAAGTTGGTATATCGTCTGGCATGGTATGCTAGAAGACGTCGTTTCGAATCCGGCCGGATCGAAGGAATTTTTTCTGTGTTCGATTTTTGTATTAATAATAATAACAAACTAGTGAAGTAATTTCACAAAAATAATTGAATATCAATTCAATAAACAATTTAAAATACGTTTTTTTTCGTTGTTGTGGAATAATTTTAAATCTTTTTGTTTTTTAGCTATACAAGTTTATTTTATAATTCACGCTAAATAAAACTTTAAAAGATATTTCTAAACGTAGAACATATTAAGAGCCTTCGAAATTATATTTTTCATTAAATGATTATCACTAGTATCAGGTTTCTTACAACGGTATGACTTCTTTTTATTTTCCCGATATTTCGGAACGGTTGAACGTTCCATGGTCACGGGTTGACTGTAAAAAATCTATAAAATTAAAATCTATTTAAAAAATATAAAAATATATTTTTCATATTTTTGCTGTTATTTGGGAATTTTTCCGGAATAATTTCCACTATTTGAAATTTTTCGGGAAATTACCCAACAATAGCTATTCCCAAGAAACGTTGACCGATATAAATACGACTATTAGAATTTCACTGTACTAATAAAGTGTCTACTTTGACGTGACTATTCATAAAGCCACAGACATAAATAAGGTACCTACATAGGGACATAAATAGGTAGACAAAATCGCTACCTTTTCGTGTAGTGCTGTTTCAGCCGAATACATTAATTGTTTGCACAGCAGTTTCTTACAATGTTATATTTGGTTTTACTTTGTTGCCAGTTCACTAATAATTTTGAGCCACTGACATTGACATTAGGTTTACTTAGCACGTCTTGTCGTGTAATTGAGTGAATATGATGTAGTTAGTGTATGATTTTTAAGAATAACGTTTTTAAATAAACATTAAAAAAAATTTAAACTTACACTCACAGGCACGTTAATTCAGCGGAACAAAAAAGTGATAATAAGAAACGGTAACGTTTATATAGAAATAAATAAGAATTATACAGTCATAAAGTTGCAATTAAATTTAAAAATGTTAACTTTAGCATTGATTAAGTAAAATCTTAATTACTGAAATTCACAATAACGCAATAATCAGCCTCGAACAACTCGACAAAACCTGTATCAGTAGATCAGCAAGGAATTAAAACAAATCAATAAAATACAGTCATCTAATTTTTTATTTTCAAGTTACACCTAGACTTAAAAATAACCGGCCAGACTTTTGGAAAAACACTGCATTTTGTATACAGCGACGGCAAAATGGAGCACGTGCGCATAAATCTATAGATTACTATTTCTGACCCTTATGTGTTGGCATAACTTGTATTTATGCGTGCCTTCTACTAGCGTGACCGTGGTCAGGTAAAAAGTCTCAATATGTACTCGGTTCTAGTCGTAAAACCGTCGCGCCGTTTCAAAGTTATTTCAATAATAATAAGCTTGTAGGCATCTTCTAAACAAACAAAGCAGCGACTAATTCTAAACTTTTACGACTAGAACCAACTGAAAAGCTATTTTTTACCTGGCTACTCAAATGTCAAAAACTCAACTCTGTTCATAAATTGACTATGATAACTAATTGTGTTTATTAAATTATTTTAGTTCGTCGAAGAACTGAAATAATTTCAATAATCACTCAATCACACATAATTATAAGTATAAGCAAGAATAAAAATTGATGAGGTGTAAATTCAGAACGCATCCGAAGATAAACTTTTTCTTTTCATTAAAAAAGGTTTTATAGTTCAACTGTTTTTCTTTCAGGATTCGCTCGGAGTCTTTTGGAGAAAAAAGTGTCGTTTTTATTTTGACTTTCAATTATTTTGTGAAATCTAGTTTAAAGTGGAATAGGATAGTGCTATTTATTTTTTTTAAATAAATAACGCACACACTCAACATAGCCCCGCACTAGGGAAACCCTGTGTCGCGGGTGCCATGGACACACACATAGACAACCACAAATTACACCCAAACTCACGAGAGAAATAAATGTAAGCCATACAAACATTTCTCCCGGCCCGGGAATCGAACCTGGGACCTCTGCGTGGCAGTCCGGCATGGTAACCGTTCGGTCACGGAGGCAGTAGTGTGCCTTAATCGAAGATTAAAACGCGAAATTATACGAATCTCGAACTAAAATACCCGTATCGGCCCGTTTTAAGGAATCCCGAGTCAATCCAAGCACGCCGCCTCAAATTGCCTATCCTCTTTGTGGCGGCCATATTTACGGAAACATATTTAAACTTCATGTTTAGGCTGATGGCTTTGCCAAAGCCTTAATAAATTAAAAAAAAAATTCTTTCATCTGCCATTTCCCTCGCTATAGTGAGGTGAAACGTTGCGTGGTAGTATCTCTTAGTTTGTGGTTGCGGGTTTCGCTCGGCAGCAAAGTTGTTTTGCGTGTCGTGACTTGAAACCCTCGCTACGCTCACGAATCTATTTTTTGCTTCCTTCGCTACCTCAGGTTTCAATACAAGTACTCGCATTAAACAATTTTGCAGCCTTGCATAATAAATAACTATTTTATGTCACTGAGTCAAATAAATTAAAGAAATAAATATCGTTCTTGTGCAACAGCCGCTGAAAATCCGTGCGTTGACAGTGCATCGCGCCTTGCCGCCGCGCCGGCGCCGGCGCATCAAAAGGGCGCCCGTCCCTATGGCCTTCAACTATGCCTACTTGTCCTAGCGGTTAGTTATACTACTCCCAATATCGCAACACTTTGACTCAATTGACATTGCCGCCATGTGTAAAGAGCGTTTGCGTAATGGTTCCGAATCCGAGAAGTGGCGGTCCGAAATGTCACGAATATATTTACGCGCATATGTATCGCGTATTTTGATAACAGATACTTTTAATTTTAGTTTTCTTTTGTTAATTTCAGTTAGTTTTTTAAAATGAAGCAACTACATGAAATTCTAAGTGTAAACTCCTGTGGAGTACATAAACTTCTTGCTTGCAACGCGATGTTTGCGCGCGTTTTAATCGATTCACTATAGCGCGTTTGGTGCGTATACGCAATACGGCGCGCCGTGTGCATATGCTCTTATCTACTCAATAGAGTAGAGTTCTAGAATACGACCCTTAGATTCTTAGATCTGTATTTGGTATGTAAGGTAAGTTCAAATTTGCAAGCGTCCTCCGCGACGATTCCCACCGTCGTTCTGCACAGAGTTGTTACCGCTTAGAGCGATCTATTTAAATCTATTTATTTTTGTATGAAAGAAAAATCTGATGAATGATGACAATAGTCATGGGACAAAAGTTATAATAAGGCCACATCTGCAAAATTACAACTTTTCAATAGACATGTTTCAATATTCTACGAACAGAATTGATCTGATGATTTCAAGTGTAATTTGCTTGACCTTTAAAACAAAGGTATTTTTAATATTTTTTAAATAATTTCTGCATTATAATTATTAATATGAAGATTAGGCCGGATTAGAACCGACGTTTTCTAGCAAACCGCGTCAGACGCAACGCCAATTAAGGCACGGAACGACTTACTACGTTGTAGTATCTTTGTATTTGGTTTTTCAACGACTAATTAGCCGTAATGCTATCTATGAGAAATCTATGAAAGTATTTCGTCACCCAGTTAGATACCTTTACAGGTACCAGCCCCTGCAACGGTATCTAACCGTTAGTTAGAATCCGGCCGGATCGAAGGAATTTTTTCTGAGTTTGTATTAATAATTATAACAAACTAGTGGAGTAATTTCACATAAAAATAATTGAATATCAATTCAATAAAAATTTATTTCTTCATTGTCTTTGTTCCAGATAATGGATATAACCATAGAACTTACAACGTATTTTGTACCATACTGTAATAGTTTCAGGAAATTATTCATACTGTAATAAATTACATATAATCTAACTGTAAATAAAACGATGTACGTAATCAATGCGAAGGCTTTATTTGACTCTTATAAACAGTCCTTAGTAACTAAGAGTTAAGTAACAATGCGTGATTTCGAAAGCCGTCGTTCAGTTTGTGCGGCGCCTTATATACCACAGTCATAGATATTCATAAATATAAATATATATAGGTTTATTTGCATCGTTCGGCGCATATCGTTGAGCATCCATTGCGTTTTGTCTTTCTTTTTTAAATAACCGTAACAAATATACAAAATTCGGGATATATACAGGCAATGGGTGCCCTAGCACCTATGGAATGTCAAATGCGCGCTCGGACACCGCGTTTTGACCAAAAGCAGTGGCGAGAGCGCTTGCTTATGTCAAAAGCGTGTCTCTATAATAATTACCCTTAAGTGTATAACCATCATAAGTAAGTGAAATATGTGTAATGTCCTTTTTGTTCCAAAGCCTGGCATTGAATTGATATAAAGTGATGATTTTACAAATGAGGGTAGTTTTACGTAGTCAAGTCCAGAGGGTAGACCGACATTTCGCGGACAGATCGCTCTTGACATTTTATTTTCGCTTTCGTAATCAGAGCGGGGGAGGGCCCTCCGGGTAGCGCAGGACTGGCTCCAGGGCCAGTCCGGGGGATCGGCAATCGGAATGCGCGTGGGGGGCCAGCGCTGCGGCCCCCAACAAAATCAGCAGCAGAGCCTGGAACGGCAGTGACGCGCGGGCCACCCTGCACACGAACCGCAGGCCTCGCTGCAGTCTGGTCATTTCTTGGTCTTGGTCCTCATCACTTACGACCACGCTGTTGGACATAATGATTCAATAAATGATAGATTCCACTTGATTTTTAAATATATTAAATAGGCATGCAAAAGAATTTATCAAGTTGGAAAGTTTTTACTTTCTGTACAGAGTAGTGAGGAGAGAGATATATTTCCAAATGCAAAACTGTATAATTAATATTAAATTGAAACTTTTTTATGCAAATCAAAGTAAAAAGTATTTCTTTTATAAAGTTACTATCTATAAAGTGTTACAAAAACCAGCAAAGTGTGATTTTGATAAGCTAATTATTAAGTTATATACTTTTAGAACCTTCTTCATTATAGGCGGTACCTTTACAGGTGCCCCGAGCTGACGTTGATGTCGCTTTTTGATCAAAAATGTATTAATGAGGACAAAGATCGAATACACAAAAAATTTCTGTGTTCGATTTTTGTATTAATAATCATAACAAAACTGGTTATTTCACAATACAAAATTCTCAATAATACATTAGTTTTTAAGGTTATTTATATCTCGTTTTTTTGTAATATTTTGTAACACCCATTAATATAATTAATATAATCCGTAAATTAATATAACAGGCAACAAAGGAGGTGTTAGAGCAAACAAACTACACAGTGTAGGTTACTTACTCATTCTCGTCGAGAGGTGGCAGGTTCATGGTCGATATTTGTTCCTCCTCTTCCTCCAAAAGCTAGGGGAGGGAAAAATACGTCAAAATACGGTGCAAAGCAACTAAATACTGTGAGCTCACAGGGTAGTATAGGATTGTAAAAACTTTAATCATAATGAAGATAATTTAATCTTCGTTGTGTTAGTCGTAATTTTTAATTCTCTTTTGAATAGTTAATGGTTACAAATAGACTAAAAATAATTCTAATTTTGCAATCCCATACATAATACGTCTAATCTTAATATTTAGGAATGGATTTTGCTCTTTGTAAGTAGGTTTTCTATAAAATACCTCTGTATATGAGGACAGGTAACTAAAAATAATAAAGCCTGCTTTGTGAAGTCTCTGGAATTATTCAGTGCTCTGTGGAGGGGTAAGCAGTGGTAAGCTCGGGCAACGTAATAAATGGTTTTTAGTTATAATTTTTCATATTTTTTTCATTGTTATCGGTGTTGTAGTTTTTTGAGATCAAAGAGTAGACAGGGGCGCGTTTAATAATTTAATATATTTGTGGTCAATTATTTTGTAAGCCCGTAGTATTTAAAATTGAGATTTGATTTTTTTTTCGATTTTTGTTAACACAATGGTTTTCCGATGAACAGCTTAAAACACAAGAAAGTGCAGTTCTATTTGTTTGAAACTTATGAAAGTAAAGGTGTGCATGTACCTGTGGTGCGGCTGCTGCAGCGACAGCGGCCAGTGCAGACTGCGCGCGCGTTGGTTGGCGCGCTAACGCCGCGCCCAATTTGAGTGCGTATACGGCGGACAGCTTACGTAGCGACTGGAGGCGCAGTCGGAGTTCGCCTAGCCTGTTAAGGACAGACGAATATTTTATAAACGTCTATGAAATATATAATTGTAAAGTAATATAATATAATTGCGTGTGATGGCACTTTGGTTTGGTTTACTGGGTTTTTTAATATATGATTTGATTTTTTACGATCTGCAATATTACGCAGTACAAACTGTTGCAATAAGGTATGAGCAGAGTTAAATTTTGTTTTTCTCTACAGATAATAATGCTCACACTTAGAGCCTCGTACTAGGGAAACCCCGTATCGCGAGTGCTATGGATACATATATTACACAAACCCACGAATTATATTCAAACTCTCGAGGAAATAAATGTACGCTATACAAATATTTCTCCCGGCGCGGGAATTGAACCCTGGACCTCTGCGTGGCAGATTGGCAGATCAGCACGGCACATAGACAGTTAAGTACATTAATGTGTACTAAGCACTTGTAAGTTCTATGTGTTTATTGTGTTATTACCTTGAGAAGCGATTGTAAATTTTTGTTTCTGCTCGTATTTATGCCAAATAAATGTTTTACCTGTCTGCCTTAAATGTGAATGTAGGCACAGGGGGTTTAGTCCCGTTCTCCATCGAAAGCAACTGTCAAATAAGTAATATTCCATTTATAAATAAAGAATAAAGCTTCATATGTGACACGAGTATTACATAATTGACAGTTATTGTTTTCGACGAATGTGGGGCGGAGAACAGGAGTACCTAAGAGTTGAAACGGCGCTTGTGACAAAACTAAAAACCGAGAATCTACTTATAACTAATATTCTCTTGCTATAACTTCATACCTTATCCACTTAGGAAAAACTAAAAGCAGTGACAGGTTGGCCTTTTTTAACCGACTTAAAAAAGGAGGAGGTTCTTAATTCGACTGTATGTTTTTTTCTTTTTGTATTTATGTTACGCGATAACTCTGGTATTTGTGAACCGATTTTCATGATTCTTTTTTTGTTGGAAAGAGCGCACCTCCATAGTGGTCCCATTTCATTTTGAAGAAAATAATTCACCTCTAAGGGTGGTTAATCACGCATGAACATTCATTTCTATAAATAGCGCCTGAATTTTACTTAAGGAACAATTATTTTAATGGTTGGTTTTGCTATTCTCCAATTCAAGGCGTTTTTCTCTCATTATACTTTAAGTAGTGACAATAGATTTTTATTATCTCCTGTGTCAAGTCCTGTATAGTATTACGAACAAGGGGATATTTCAATAGAACTTGGCAAACTTGACTTCTTTTTAGCACTCTGTACTGATTATTATCATATAGTATATATATATCGCATAGTAGCAACTTTGCCTATTTCTGCCGCCAAGCAGTAATGTCACCATTACTGTGTTCCGGTTTTGAAGGGGACTTGCAACTTATGTCACAGGGTGACGAGCGCAGTGGCGGTGCCCCTCAGGTCTTTGTCATTTAAGGCGTGTAGCTTACCACCAAGCGAACCGTGATGAAATAAAAAAACCGACCTCAAAAGTACGTGGAATTACGTCTATTTGCTAAGTTTTATTGAAACATCCCCATTATACAGAACTTGACACTGGAGATAATAAAAATAGGTTCTCACTACGACACTACTCAAAGTGTATTGAGAGAAAAATGCCTTGAATTGGAGAAATAGCAAAATCAACCATTAAAGTAATTGCTCCTAAATTAAAGTTAGGCGCTATTTATAAAAATGAATCTTCATGCGTGAACCTTTCGAAGTGGATGATTTTTTTCAAAATGAAATGGGACCACTATGGAAGTGCCCCCTTTCCAACAAAAAAAAAGAATCACGAAAATCGGTTCACAAATACAGACGTTCAAAAAACCATACAGACGAATTGAGAACCTCCTCCTTTTTCGAAGGCGGTTAAAAAGAGCACGAAGATCGCACCTGCGGCAGATGTCGTCGGCGTGCGCCGGCGCGTCCCCACTGCGCAGCAGCTGCGCGGCGTCGTGCAGCGCGTGCACGCGCGGCTCGGCGGCGGACAGCTCGTCGCGCAGCTCGCTGAAGCGGCGGAAGTCGCGCTGCAGCTCGTCGGCGGGCCGCGCCAGGCGCAGCGGCTCGCGCGCGCGCACGCCGCGCTCGGCGCGGGCCAGGCGCGCCACCAGCTCGACCACGATGTCGTGGAACTGCTGGTTGTGCACGAGCGCGCGCTGCAGGCGGCGCTGCCACGCGCCCGCCGCGGCGCAGGCGCGGTCCCAGCGCGCGTTGGCGTCGGCCAGGCGCAGGCGCACGCGCTGCGCGTCCTGCGCCGCCGCCGCGTGCTGCGCCACGTGCCCGCCCACCACGTTCAGCGACACCACGATGGACTTGTGCGAGTCCAGGTCCAGCAGGAACTCGCGGTGGTCCTGCGGCCGCGGACGACGTCGGTTTAATGCTACGTTGTGTCACCTTAGAATAATAACGCATAGAAACCTAGTCCGCACACGCTAAGTGAGGCAAATTGAAGCGCGCCCAAAGGGCCTACACGAGCGGGCGGGCCTTCAGTGCTCAAGGTCAACTTGCGCCGCGAACAGCTCAAGAATTTTAGCTAAAAATGACGAAATGTGCGGTAAATGAGTGTAAAAATACGTCAGACAAAGATAAAATAGATACTAACATCACATTCCACAAGGAAGTAACGCGTTTCAACTTGTATTTTTATATAAATATTCACTAAAACCGAAAATTAACCTACTACTAAAACTAGCCTACATGAATTTGATTTTTGCCTCACTTTTGACAGTTCGTTTGATATGAAACTATCATTCTATGCGTTATTTATTATTCTAAGTGTGTCACGGGTGAATAAGGAATTGCGAACGTGACTGTTGGAAGGCTTTTGGAGTCCAGGTTCGTAATTTCCGTATTTGCGAGTAGATAGTATGATTGCATGCTAGCCTGCGGCTATGGTCGGTGATGAGAAGAAAAACGGCCCGAGAGTTTTATTTCGGGTATTATAGTCAAGTTAGCCTGCATGCAATCTATTTATTGCGTGCAAGTGTCATGAAAAACGTATTTTATGCACATCTAAAAAAATATCTAAGCATCGAACACGTCTTTGCCAATCACTGGAAATCGAGGTATTTTAATTAATTCTTCTTAATGAAAATTCTTTAAAAAAATCAGATTTTCAATAATTACCAAAAACGTGCTTGTCCCCTAGACACTTTTGATGTGTAACGTTTCGAACGCGTTGCAACGTCCGTGATTTCGAAGGGACAGTCTCCTCGATTTTAAAATCAAATAACAAACGATGACGTCCTTGACAATTTGCGTTACGGGACTTAGTTCCAAATTAATGAAAATCAGTTTCAAGTTTTTAGCAACTTCGATTCGAGTTGTGGTTTTAACACTGCCAAAGTTACGTTACAATCCATATATTTAAATACCTTTTCTATATGTACACTTTATAAAAACAATACTTCGCAGAATTTTCACAAACACTACTCACTTGTATAGCATCTTCGAGAGCATCGTACTGTTCAGGAGGGTCGGACCTAGCAGCTTCTGTGGCCTCAGCGAACTGCAGCCATTGCTCAAGCCGCCACAAGTCGTTATCCAGTTGCTTCCAGTTGCGTTCAGAGCATAGTGGACAAGTAATCCGACCGGACTCACTGTTGAACGGTAAGTTTATTTTAAGCAATCATAGCTCAGAGTAAATTGGTTATGCGTTATGATTTCAGTTCAAGATTTTAATAAATTTATAATAACTATGAAAATCACCACTCTTATTGCGGTTAGAAAAAGCTTCATTTGCAATAAAAGAGAAAAAGCTTAGGCCGGTTTCAGAGCAATGCGGATTTATGTGCGGACCGTCCGCGCGGAGCACCGGAGCGGAGCAACACGTGTGGCGTTAAAATATCGTTTTTATAATAACGCGGATTGCTCCGTGCGGAACACGCTTCGCGTGAACTCCGCACAGGCCATCCGTGCGTTCATTGTAGTCATCCGTGAATAATAAATAATAACGCACACACTCAATATAGCCCCGCACTAGGGAAACCTTGTCTCGCGGGCGCCACACACACACATAGACAACCATAAATTACAAACAAATTCACCTCTGCGTGGCAGTTCGGCATGGTAGCCGTTCGGCCATGGAGGCAGTTAATAAAGCAGTGAATATCCGCACTAAATTAAATACTCGATTCAGAGCACTACGGATTCTACGTATGTGGAAGGCCCGCAGGCGGACAATTCGTACGGACCGTACGCACAGCTGTGAAACCAGCCTTAGCGTTGTGCACTTCGCTTTGCACTTGTGCACAAAGCTTTTTCTGTTCGGTTCAAAGCTGATTCCGCATTAAAAAGAGTGGTAACACTCTTAGTACAATTAAGATAGATATTACGACGAGTATTTTTTTTACGTTTAATTTGCTAATTGACTAAAAACGGGATATTATGCTTAAATGAAAATTAAAATTCTAAATATTAAAATGAAAGTGTAAAGTCGAAAATAAGAAGTGCAAAAAAGTATACAAAAGGTGCAATATTGAAGTGCATTAAGACAGTACACAAACAAAAGGATTTGATATATCGCACTTTGAAACCAATACTGTCACCAAACGAAAAAGTTCATTTTCGAGGAATGGCCATTAAATATTTATTTATTTTTATTGAATTCGATGATCGTTTTCGTACCCTAATATACATAACAATACTCAACTACTTTTATTGATTCAATTATGATACAAAGCTTGAACAAACACAAAGAAAAAGTCTTTCTATCCAATTGGACTTAAACCTGCATCTCGACTCATCCGAAGAACAAAGCGCGATGTGATTTTACAATGAAGAGGTTAAAACATAATCTCGTTATTCAAAAGGCCTATATAAAAGTGTTTTCATATTTTTTATGTATTTATTATTTCATTTCGGAAATATAAAATCAAACAACAATCGACCTTGACTGTGGTTATCCGCAATCAAGACGAACGAACGAAATGTACAATGTCCCAAGAACAAGCAGCATCTTGCACATAGGTCTTTGTTCTACGGATGAGTCGATCTGTTAGCCAATATAGTCAGAAGACCTTAGGACTTTGCCCATGAGCAGATCTTTGCATTGGGTTAAAATGGTTTTTTTTACCAACGGTTAGGTGAAATTAGAAACTTATTAAATTTTTTTAACTTCAACAAAACGGTCATTAAAATTTCTGATAGTCAAAATAAAAATAAAGATTTTCGTTTAGTGACAGTATTAGTTTCGAAGTGCAACATGTATGCATTTACAAAAATGTTGCATCAAAAACAATACATATAAAACTTGACAACTTAATGTAGAGTACTGGTCGATACTACCTCAGTTAGAATTCAAATTTTTCCCGTATTGAATCGATTCTATTGCGCAGGTCGAGTGGCAGGGACACTGGCTTTATTTCAGAATCTATTTTTTACAAACGAAGTTAAAGCGATTTGAAAAGTGTATACAAAAAAAAAATTGGTATTATGTAAAGCACTTATTAAGTGCAGCGGTTTTCTTGTAAAATTTCGAAGTAAGTTTGTATTTTTTTTCTATTGTGAAAATTTTTAGTAAGTCACATCATATACTAATCAGTGTATATCCTGAATTTTACTATATATTTCCAAAGTGATTTATTCAACACTGTGTTATGTGGAATCAACCAAAACCATTGGAGGTAGTACTGACTCTTAATTAATATCCACATACAGGTCTTCACTATATAATACTGATAATGTGTTCGTGCAACAGGATAAAAGAAGTAGTAAAGGTAGTAGACATTAGAAAGCGATACTCACTGTTCGCATGTGAGCGCGTATGAGGCCGAGTGCGGCAACCTACGGACAGAACGCAAGTGTTTAGAGCATGCTATGAGTTAGCAAGCTGTTATTTTGCTTCTTTAGAATTGCCTAACAACTTGAAAAGATCTGGAAAACATTTTTCTATAACAACCAGGTCAACGATGGAGCATGCACACCTATACAGTGTTACTTATAATATCTAACAACCTCATAGGACAATGTTACTAATATCATAAACAACAATTTATGTTCCATGACTTGTAATAATTTTATAATATTTAAATGGATCTCTCTAAACGGTGATAAGTCTGCGCGGTAACAAAAGAAAGCGCTAGTATAAATTGGACGTAGTTAAACAAAAACGATCCAATGCTCATCCAGTCACTTGCGTGATATGGCAGTTTAAAGTTTAATAATATTTCTCACTCTTGTTTTATTTTCAAAACTTATAATATCATGTAACTCCAGATATATTTATTTATGTTTATATGTTGGATTTTTTGCTGATCTAAGAGGCGTAGACTTTAAGAAGCGTTTCGTACATAAATCATTTTTCGATAATTTTGTGAATTGGATCCTTCTTGCTTAACTACTTCCAATTACAGGTCTGATGAGAAACGGACGAGCGGGAGTCGTGGGGTAGGACGCTTGCACGTTTGAACCAAATACAGACCTAATAATTGTAACTTTTATACAAAAACCGAGCTCAAAAGTTCGTGGAAATACATCTGTTTGCCAAATTTCATCGGTTCCCGGAAAGTGCGCTATACCCATTGTTTGGATTGATCCCATAGTTTGCGACCCTAGAGGTGGAATATTTTCTTCAAATTTAAATGGGACCAATATTGAGGTACCTTCTTTCCAACAAAAAAAGAATCACCAAAATCGGTTCACAGGAGTTATCGTGTATGTATGCATGTATGTTAATATATAAAAGAATCTCCTCCGTTTTTTTTGAAGTAGTATGTTTATTTTTTTTCGAGTTCTTAGGTTTTCGTGATTGTTACACATAGGAAATGAAACAATTTTTCCGGATTTAAATCGCGTATATTTGTTTTTTCAAACAAACCGACGTTTCGGGCCTTTTACAGGTCCCATGGTCACGGTTGACTTGTTTGAAAAAACAAATATACGCGATTTAAATCCGGAAAAATAGTTTCATTTCCTAAGTTTATTTTTCATAAATTTATTGTGATTTGTAAAAAGTCATGGAACAAAAGTTGTCCTACATGATGTTAGTAATATAGTCCTGCGAAGTTGTTATAGTCCATTTATTTAGGGACTTAATTAAATGTAAACAATGTTGAGACGTCTAGTTAATGAAATATACATTTATAAAATGATATTTAGTTAGCTTCAAATACAAAATACTTAGCTTACTATATGAAATAGAATACCTATTGATTTGTAAAGTATACGTTTCAATAAAAAGATGCATCAAGATTGTTTACATTTAGTTCAGTACCTAAACAAATGGACTATAGTATTTTACAATACACCGTATAATTGCCAATTTACTATCGTTTGGTACATTTATATAAAGAACTGCATTCAGTGAAAGAAGAAAATTTCACAATCATAAATCATTTTCAACAAGCATTGTTAATTTCAAAGAAGTCTCGTTCTCTCTCGTGTCTGAAGTATTGTATGCGCAGGAGAAGTAGTAACGCACTGACAGCACTATTTACACCAAGCCCCATCACCACAAGGCAAAACAGTGCTAGTGCTACATGATAACACGACAAATCTTTTAGACGAATGTTGGATTGATGAAAAGGTGAATTTGAACTTAAATTTACTTGTGATTTTGTGCAATACTTATAAATACAGGTTGCCTGGAATTTTCCTTTTAATTTATCTGTAAATTCTTAAACCAGACCTGTAAATGCACAGATTTGGGATGCCAGAAAATATAATTCATAATATAGGTGTTGTCTAAAAACAAACTAAAAAATTTTGAACCTTTCAAATTCATCATCAACGTCATTCGCCCAAAAGAAAACACTACACAAAAACTCAACTAACCGTAAATTGTTGATCTGCAATTCCCTCTTCTTCGCTTGAGCGAGAAGATCTTCATATCGCAATGATAGTGACTCGACTTCCTTTAACATAGCTTCGTCTTCCGATGCATCACACTCCGTGAGGAGTAATTCTGACAGATGTTTTGCCAGTTCCAATGTTTGGCCAGGTTTGGCACCAGCTTTGGCAATCTCTTTGGCCGCTGTCGCAAGTTCGTCAGCACTAGCATTCTCTTTCGGTTGTTGAATAAGAGCATTACGGAGAGCTTCAAGAGATTCTGATGCTTCTTTAACGGCTGATGTTAGTTCGACTTTGTAGGTTTCTTTAGAAGTCAGGGTGTCTACTTGGAGCGCTGCGTCGGTTTCCCATTTGAGAGTGTCCACCTAGAGAATATATGAAATATACAATGCATATAGAAGCTGAAATAAAAAGTCTGACTCGGCCGAAAATTTGCCGAGTAGGTAATTAAATACAAAATTTGAGTTCTTAGGTTTTCGCGATTGTTACACATAGGAAATGAAACTATTTTTCCGGATTTAAATCGCGTATATTTGTTTTTTCAAACAAACCTAAGACGTTTCGGGCCCTTTACAGGTTTGTTTGAAAAAACAAATATACGCGATTTAAATCCGGAAAAATAGTTTCATTTCCTATACAAAATTTGATCCAAATATTATTTATGATTGTTCTTATCAAGTAAATAACTAGCAAACAATTCATTCACTTCCAATGTAAACAATGCAAATCAAGCATCGAGTAAATTATGGTATTTGTAGCTAAGTCTGCTGAAAGAACTGTCAAAGCTAACATAATTTTGTGGTTAAATAAACATTGAAGTTCACTAACCTGAACAGCAGTATCAACATCGCCGACCACCTCACTTTTAGCGACATCGAGTCGCGTGCGCACGTCGTTGTATAGTGCGCGGTACTCCGATACCATGTCCGATACTCCGGGCAACGAGGACACACATGCTGCCAGCCGGTCTGCCTCTTCCACCAAGGCTTGACATTCAAGTAGATCTTGTTCCACACCCTTGAATGTAACCAGTGACTCGTTAAACCACTGAATCAAAATTACTATACGATTTTGGGAAAGAAATACTTAAACTGGTACTTACGTTTAGTTCTTTCAACGTAGCAGCCTTGTCCAGCGGGGTGGGAGCGAGATGCAGCGTTCTGGTCAATCGAACGTCAGCTTCGGCCAAAGCAATAACGGCCTTTCCGTGGGCGGCCACAAATTGCCTGTGCGCGTCGGCTCCTGCTGTGTCCATGCGACCGCGCAGCTGTTGCCACCGCCGAATAGCTGCTCTCAACCTCGCCACCAGATCTGCTCCTTCGCCACGAAGTTCAGTGCCCCGAGAAGAGACTACACGACTATAAGCATCCTCTAGTTTTTTGATGTCGTTTTCTAAAGCTTCCAAATCTTTAATAACAGCTTTCGAAACGCCCTCGTCGTCCGCTTCACCGCGCTGCTTTCGAGTCTCGATCTTCTCGACTCGTTTTTCAATGGAGTCCAGTTTTTTCTCAACTTTGGGCAGTAATGAGTTCGTCAGTTCGGCCGACTTGCGAATTTCTTTCAGAGCGTTCTTTCTTTGTTCCGACATGTCACAGATGTTCTTCCATTTCTTTTCTATGATATCGACACCAGTGCGTAAATTCCGTAAATCGAAGTTACCCTTCAGAACATCAGGATCATTGAACACGAGCTCGCAAAGATTTAAAGTTTCGCCAATTTCTCCACTCTCGTTTTCAATGTTCTTGTGTATTTCATCGCGCTCTTGGAATTTCTCGTCGACAGCTTTTGTCGTCAAATATTCAATCACAACCGTAGTAGTTAATCTAGATTCAATTGTGTGTAATTTTAGCCTGATTTCTGTTAATCTTTCTTCTAATTGTGTTATAGTTTCGAGTAGTTCGGTGATCTTAGCTATTCTGGCTCGTCCGGTTTCCTGTAGTTTCAGCCAACGCTCTTCAATATTCTTAAGTTGTTTGGCAGTATTTTTGCTGTACGATTTTTCATCCTTTTTAGAGAGTTCAATGAGAGCCGTGCCTGTTTCCATGAGCCATTCGAACTCACGCTCTTTCATGACTGTTTCGGCTTGAACGTCAGAGTTTATTCTTCGGATAAGATCTTGTGGATCGAGTGCGCTCATTTCACTGCTTTGACTAGATGTTTCAAGACGTGACTCTAGTGTTGTCATCCATTCTGAAAATCGTGTTAACCGTGATTCGAATATGCTATAAATCTCTAACCGCTCCTGCAATCGGTGTATAATGATGGAAAGTTGGTGTTCCAGATCGGCACGTTGTTGACGCAGTTGCCAAACTTTTTGGTTCACTATTCTTATGTCTTGAGGACTAAGACATTCCTTCAGTTGCTCTTGGATGACGCTGAGAGCTTCGATTTGTGTCTCAGTTTTATCTATTTGTGTTCTTAAAGTTGTGTATTTTTCAATTGTCTTTCGGAGCTGTGGTCTAGATAAAGAATTAGCTTCAGAGTATGACAACACTTCCTCTTGTGTTTTGTTATAAAGTTTGGTAAGGTCTGTGGTTAAAGTATCATATTCGCCAACAAGTCCAAGAATTCGAGTTAAAAAGTCACGCCATGTGTCAAGACTAGCTTGTAAGTTGTCAACTCGCTTTACAATGCCAGCATATTCTATCCTAACCGATGTACCATACGCTTCTTCAGTAAAGTTTAGAACCTTTTTGAGATTTTCTAGGAGCTTATCAGATTGTTTCCTGCCTTCTGGTACTTTGTCTGAGAGATTCTGTATCTTAGCCAGTACTTTATTTATTCTTTTTATGTGGACATATCGTAGTTGAAGTTTTTCTTTCTCCCTTTCCATTTCCTTGAGCCATCGTAATAGTTCTGTGTAGATTTCTCTGTAATCATCCCAAGCAACTATGCGGTTGCAAACTTCGTCGTGTCGTTCAACTATTCGAGCTAAAGTTTCATTATGCAGGTTGGTAAGAGTATCGAATTTGTCGGCTAAATCCTTGTTCTTTGGTTCCTTGTTTTCATTTATTAATATAGATCTTTGTGATGTTAAAAGATTTCTATGCACCCGGCATAAGCGACGATGTTCCGCCAAGTTCTCATAATCCTCCGGGACAGAACCTGATAGGAATGACTGCAAGTCTATAAGATATTCGTGCCATAATCTCAAGGCGGTGGCTGCATCTCCCGACCTGACTAGAGCTGTAGATAATCTATGATAATGCAGGAAGGTATCTCTGAACATGGCCTGCCATAATTCTAAGATTCGTACGATGGAGTGTTCATCAGAGACGTCTCTGTCAATGTCAGGTAGTTCCGCCTTTGCCGGGGCTATATCGGCTTCGCTCTTACCAAGTGCTATAAGGTTATCGCGAAGGGCTATCAGTTTGTCTTCCACAATTTCGCCATCTTCAGACAGTGGTGCCAGATCCTGTAACAAAATGTGAAATTGTTATTAATAACACGTTCCAACTTTAATTGGATATTTAAAAATTATGTAATTGTACAGAAAATACCGATGCTTCTTTGGTACTAGAAAGCAGGACAATCAACAAGACAATAATAAATGCAAATATGACCGGGGCTGCTCGGTACTATTTGGATGTTACGTTGACTACTTGAGAGTCATTAATTGATAGTACAGAACTATATAGGTAATAATTGTTTAATATATATGTACAATAATATATATGTATAATATTTTTTAATTCGATATAAATTTACTGCCTTTCCATCATGATGTACTCTTGTAGTTGTACGATGAATGAACTAATTATATCTCATTACCAACGCAAAGTTCAAATAACGGTTTACGTTCATTAACATGAAATCCAAAACATATTAACGTACAAACCTGTCTCATATCATAAAGCTTCCCCTTTGTGTTTTGTGCCTTAGCTCTTGCCACCTGTCGGGCTTCTCCCAAGTCAGCCAGGGCTTGCACCGCACCTGACACGAGTTGCAGCCTCCTAGCCAGCGCATCAGCGTCGGCTTGTAAGGCCCTGGAGCCTGTTTCGGCTGCCACTCTAGCTGCTAGGGACCGGAGCTCGGCGACCCGCGGTTCTTGTTCTAGACATGCCTAAGGAAAATAAGGTTCTATTAAATATAAATAAATAATGTTCGAAACGTATTTAATATCTTAAGAGTAATTTATGTTATGGACTAGACTTCACTTTCAATTCAAACCCATTGTCTCGGTTGTAAAAATTGGTTTCGAAGAACAACTCTTATTCCATTCTTAAACTTATTAAAAACAGAACATTGTAAACGCTAGCTGAACATGCTGCGTTGGAATGCCACTTAAGAATATATTATTTGGAAGTGTATCTGCAAAAGAATCGCCTTTTCCGCTGTAGATTCATTGAAACACTGGCCGACCCGATATTATAACATTGTTCTAATACTTTAGAAACTTTAGCTTGAGCATAGCTCATGAAAGTTTTATAATAATGAATCGCATACCTATATATTATAGATAATAACTAATATCATAATAATTCTTGAGTGAGTTTTCGTACTCCTCATCAAGATTGTCCTCTTATATAATTCCAAGCATATAATTTTATACACATAAAACGTGACCACAATTCAAAGACATAATAGGACATCAAATGTGTGTTATGTGATAAGATTTCACAATGGGATGCCATTTAAAGATTTCGCAACGTCCTGTACATTCGCTTACTTTTAAATTAACATTACGGTGCGTTGCCTTATGTTCACTAGCTTTGCCTGTGGTGTTGTCTCGACTAACTAGTAAATAAGTAAACTTAAAATATATATATTAAAAATATTGACTTACAAATAAATGGACGACGGGTCTAATACAAAAACCACGAAAAAAATGTCCCAAGTCAACCTATTTAAACGTAGTGACATGTAAAGGAATATGAAAAAGCTAAAACGTTGAATTTAAATAGTAATGTCGTCGCAGTACTGTCTAATTTTGCTTGCTTCGCTGTCAGTCGAACAAACGAAGACTAAAGCGTGAATGACGCTCTGTATCTCTATAAGTTCGGACGTCAATGATTAAAAATGATAACTTGACGACTTCGGTGATGGTTTGCACTGTAGACGCGGGAATTGAATAAAGGAATGTGAAAGTGATATTTTGTTTCGTACGAATAGGTCTTAAATGCACTAATAATTACCACTTTACGTAATCTTTGATCATGTCGTAATCATTAAATATTAAAACAATCAATATTACTTGATGATAAAGCTGAATATAACCATGATATTTGAAACTTAGTTAATGATATGCGAAGGTGATGTTTTTAATTAAAGAATTTGATTGTTTGTGCACAATTAGGAATGATTTATAAGTTTGTGGTGGTCAAACTCTTGGAGCACACTTTGTCACAGCGGCCTGTAATACAATTTCGGATGTTTTTATGACCTCCGTAGCCGAAAACGGTTTGATCTGTGGTTGCAGCCTACACTTGGCGAAATTTTTCTTTTTTTTTTTTTTTTTTTTTATTGCGACTCGACAAAATGACTGCACCGCGCCTGATGGAAAGTGCGAATACAGTCCAGAGATGAGAGTAACGGATGGAAAACACAAATATCTTCACTCCGTCACTATCATTTTGCCGGTCTGGCCAAATGCACTGGATGTACACCAACTGATCCCTGAACGCGATTCGCAAAAGCGTTTCACTGTGGAGGGTTTTCCGCCGTGTGTACTGTGGTCGCTATCCAGTCGGCACAGAGTCTACCACAATGCTAAGCAGATGGACACTTGTGACGCCCTCGGTCGCCTCTTACGACCCCCACGGGCATGTATGGGGAGGCGACAATGTATTCTTAAGCCGTCGCCCCACGGCTATAAAAATTAAGAGTGAAGGCTCGATCCGTATAAAATTTATTAACTAAAGGAAGGGGTAAAAGGGGAACAGGAAGCCTTTATATGTCCAATGTTTTATAAACAGTTAAAATAAGTGAGGTTTACAATGCACACGTCCTTTCTCTTTGAGAATTTTGATGGGAGTGGCGACGGAACGACCCAAAGTAAGAATAACGAAGAAAGGGAATTAGAGAACGATTCAAAATTTCAAAAGTGGCCAGGAACCAGAAAAGAGTTTGATAAAAAGGTGGGATGATGATGAAGGACGTCGCGTCGTCACAGTGTGTGCTGGACGAGAAAGGCCCAGGTCCTTTTTTCCGGTGTAAATAATTTATGGAGAATCATCGAATATATAACCAGAAATAGAGACGATATAAGGACCATATATGCCTGGTATCTCATCAGTGATACATCACTTATAAATATCAACTCTCGTTTGCACTGAAATTACAAATTAAAAAGCTGAAATAGTACAGCGCCAACAACTGACCTGTGTGTACGTCTTCATATGTTCCAAAAATATTGTGTATTTATTGTAATAAATATAATATCTCTAACAATGGCGTGCTGTTGCATTCGGTGGTGTGGGGAAAAACAGAAAGCATATAATTACAAAACAAACGTAATCAAATTTCGTCGGTAATTAAATACAAAATATGTAATTTTGCAATTTTCCTACCTTGCAAAGTTCATGTTAACTGGTCGAAATGAAGTGAAACAATTGACGACACCCGTCAATTGTTTGAATTCGGGCTGGCCAACCGGAGCGGAGCGGAGGAGTTGTCACGGTAATGATATGGCAGAATAGTTTTCAAACAAATTAAATGATATTACGTCTCTATTTCTGGTTATATACTTTACACAATTTGGCAAATCCTTTACCACTATAGCACTATAGTGTCATCTATACGGCAAGAAGTAGACGGAGTATATTAGTATATTTTTGAAAATCTATATTTTTATTTATTCGCTAAATTGTCTTCTTGTTCTGAGAACGGCCAAATCGGATCCTTTCGTGCACTTAAATGGAAAATATGTCTATAAAAAGTGTTGTGTCACTACTTCAATGTCTTTCTGACTTCAATGGCTGGGATTCAAATGGTTTCAAACCAAATAGAGCGTACAATTCGCAGATAATGAAGTGAAAACATTGTAATTCGATTATTTATTCGCATACTCAACGTAATGACTGCTTTCTGATTTTATTGTAGATTTGTTTGGCCAGTAAATTGTTTTCTAATCATAAGATAATCAATGTTCAATAAAAACTAAACACCACTACAAATAATCAGAATACTCTTTGTATGAATAACTAGCCTTATTTCAAACAAATTATGGGATATAGTCCCTTTACAGTTAGTTACAAATAAGTATACACCAGGTATGACCACAGATTACTTAATAGTTACTACGTAACAGATACATCACTCTCATACAAAATCGAAAATACCTACGCTGTAACATCCTGCTAAATCTGACTAATGACACCAGGCACTCACTACGAGGAAAAAGGAACCTAAGCACGTGCTCAGAGAGGTTAGGGACATTTTGTCGTTCGGGAAATGAACCTAGTATACACCAGGTATGACCACAGACAGACGTATACGCAGAAAACGCTTCATTAGTAAAAAACATACAAAGTATACAGTAGTAAAATAGCTAGCAATTTAGGTAAAATAGAATTTTTATGTCATTTATTTCATTTTGTACGGAAACTGATAATATCAGTTGTGTCGGACCTTGAACCAAAAACGACGGTTGATAAAAGACGTCACTTGTCTAACCTGTTCTTATTTTTGTTGGATTTTGTAATAAAATAGGTTTTATAATACCATATCTTATGTTTATGGTCGTTACGCACATTTTTATTTGTTGGAGCAACAGTTAACTCAAACACACTAAAATTTATTAAGATGAAGGCAAAGCCAGAGTCCGTAGGTCGTACCACTCAATATTGCCAGGTTCTACTGATTTATCACTAGATCTACTGTTTTTGGCTGACATCAGCTATTCGTTTTTTTTTATTATAAGTTATTTAACGAAAACTACTGCTGTTTGAAGAAATTTCTTCTGAACAAATCATGCATGGTAGAAATCTGTTTACAACCTTATAACAATATTGCTATAACCCGTAAAAAATTCATTATTAAAAGACAGAATTTTGTATGTCGTCGTATTTAGACATAGTACAAGAAATTATTGTCTATTTTTTTATAATGGCATACAAAAAAATTTGATGCATCTTTGTTTTTTAACAATCTACCTACATTTGAAATTGACACGTAATGGTAATAACTACACTAGCAACGGCTTTGTGGTAAATATACTTTTATTAAAGGAAATTTTGTAGAAAAAGAGAATTTTTTGAATTCAGATGTAAGTTGCTTGGTCTACTTTAGCAACTTTCACAGTTTAATGAGATGCGGATATTTGCTTTGGGTAATGGCGCCGAAATCCACAGTAGTAACCCGTTTAGCTCTTCTACGTTTTTAATGTCTATGACACCACTCTGCTATTACAATAGCGTTGTAACTCAAAATATGTGAAATTCAACAACATGTCAACAAAACTGTCATTAGAATATTATAAGAAACAATAAAGGATATCTAGTTGACTCAAAATGAGACAAACTTTTTATGAGCTAGTTCTGGCCAAAACAGTCGTTATTCAAAAATATGAAATAATTTTTTCCCTTTTATTTTTAATATATTTGGCAAATAGAAAATTGTTTAGATATGTGTAATAAACTCTAACCCCCACATACGATTTTAATAATCTTTCACGGGGAGTAAGTAATTAGTTTTTCACCGATTCTGCAAAAATACACTTTTTGAGTAATTACACTATTGTATCAACAGTGCATATTTGAAAACTAAAGTCAAACAAAAACTTTATACTTTAACTTTATACAGCTTCTGCGTACTTGGATGACAAATATCCGTTAGCTCTTGCAGGTTGTGTCGATTTTTTTTAAGATACGAAGTGTCGGGACGGACAAATTGTGCGCCTGGTGGTAAGCAACACGCCTGTCCATGACAGTTGCAGTGTCGCACAGAGCTTATATTGTAAAGATCTGAGAGGCATTGTCTATGCGCCCGTCATCTCGAGACATGAGTTGAAATGTCCATAGGCCTGTAATTTCACCAGCACCGTTAAAACCGAAACGCTCACGTTATTGCTTGGCGGCAGAAATAGATGACGTAGCAGTACTTCCCTGGACAATCTATTATGTT